AATTGCCCCTCCTGCTGGCCTGGTCACCCCCAACTGTCCCCCCGCTGGCCTGGTCGCCCCCAACTGCCCCACCCTGCTGGCCTGGTTGCCTCTCACGCCCCCCCGCTGGCCTGGTCGCCCCACGCAGCCTGCTTGTTCAGTCGTTTGGTTGTCCCTCACTAACCCCCCTGCCGGCCTGGTTGTAGGCAGCCATCTTGTGAGTGCATGAGGGTTAATTTGCATATCACCTCTTTATTATATAGGATAGGATTTGTAAATTCAGATAGCATTAACTGGTGCATGTGTACGTGTCCATCTCTATTTACAATTTACTTTTTGGGGGAGGACCTTTCAAATGACTTTTTCCTACTTTCTACAAAGAATTTGTATTACAGTCAATTATTTTTTATTTCAAAGTTGATGTGTTTGTGGCTAGAAAAGCCATGCTTGATTGACAGAAAAAAAAAAAGGATATTCATGGTAGTTTTAGTTTTCTTAATGCAAACTGAACTGTATACAATAAGGCTCTTTTTCCCTTCGATCAGATGCATAACTGTTTATATGTGAGCAATATGTAAATGGCATATTGCATATATTATAGCTTAATTATGATTAAGAAAAAGTTTCAGTTCATATTTAGTTCTAAGCCTATCTAATGTTTATGAAGACCATTCCCCCTGTAAATTATATATTACTACATAATATGTATGAACATGAGTCATTTCAAAATAAAACATTGTTAACAATACAATTTTAAATTTTTAAAATTTATCTTTATTGTTGACAGTATTACAGATGTTCACCTTCCTCCCCCATTAACCCCCTCCACCCTGCTCCCACCCCTCCCCAGGCCTTCCCTGCACTATTATCTATCCATGGGCTGTGCTTATATGCATATAAATTCATTGGTTAATCTCTTCCCAAATTATCTTAAATTTTGACAATTTCAGTATTGATGCAAATATTTCTTTGGTAGATTTTCTGCAGGAGAAAATTAAAAAACACCTTGATAGTAAAAAAACAAACAAACATAACCCATTGGTAAATAAAGAATTTATTTCCTTATTAAATATTGAATTATACTAATCATTTTTAATTGAGATATAATTGCATTTAACATTTGGTAAATTTAAGGTTTATAGCATATTGATTTGATACATTTACATTGCCATTGTCGCATTAGTTAACCTCTCTATCACATCACAAAATTATTATTTATTCTAGTGGTAGGAACAATTAAGATCTAGTCTCCTAGGAAGTTTAATGTTTATAATAGTTTTGTTTATACTCACTGTATATTAGATCTCTAGGTTGTCTTATTTATATACTAGTTGCAAGTATGTGCCTTTAACAACATATCTTCCATTCCCCACTCTCCATCTGCTAGTAACCACCATTCCACTCTGTTTTTCTTTGAGCTTTCTTTGTTGTTGTTTTTTTAGATTCCACATATAAGAGATATCTTACATTATTTGTCCTTCTATGTCTGACTAATCCCAGAGCAATTGGGTATGTTGTTTTGTGTTCTCTTACCCATTATTTTTCCTCATTATATTTCATTTTGGTAATTTTTTGTGACTTGCCAGAATTACCTCTTTCCTCACTTCTGTTGAGTCTATTTTTGAGTCTGTTGCAGGTATTCTTCATCTCTTAATAGGATTTTCATTTGCACCATTTCTGTTTGATTCTTGTAATTTTTATCTTTGCTATTTTCACCTGAATTTACCTATTGGCTGTCTTTCCCTTTAGATCCTTTATCATGTAATCATAGTGATTTTATGCTCCATGTTTAATGACTTCAGCATTTGTTTCTTGTCTGAATTTGGTTTCATTGATTGCTTTCTCTTGTCAGTGAGTTGTTTTCCTTGCTTATTTGTTTGCCTTTTAATTTTTATGTGCTTTGTAATGTTTCTTATCATTCTGTATTGTGATAATAGTGTTGATGTCTGGGAATGGAATTGCCTTGCAGATAAATCTTTAGTTTGAAAGAATGTTCGTGATATTTTAAAGAGGCACTATATGTAAGTTTCCTATAATGTAAGAGAAGCTTTCATAAGCTCTGTGGAGTTAAAAGTATCCACATTTATTTACTATTTTACTGTTTTCTCATTATTGTTTTTTGTAATTAATTTTGGGGGGAGCTTACTCTGTGTGATGCATGTTTCATATATATATATATTTTTTTTCTTAATCTTCATCCCAGGATATGTTCTTTTTTTAAAATTGATCTTAGAGAGCGAGAGGAAGGAGAGTGTGGGAGGGAGGGAGGGAGGGAGGAAGGGAGGGAGAGGGGGAGAGAGAGGGAGAGAGAGAGAGGGAGAGACTGATGATTAGCTGCCTCCCAAATGCACCCTGGCCAGGGATTGAACCTGCAACCTGGGTGCCCTGAATGGGAATCAAATCCACAACCAATTGAGCCATACTGGCCAGGGCTGGTTTGTATTTTTTAAAACAGACTTTTAGGTTATGAATTTATTCCCATTTTACACATGTGAAAACTTAAGTAAAATTATTTACATAAAAATAAACACCTGTCAAATGACATAACTGGGACTTGATTCTCCAAGTCTATCAATTTCATATCTGGTGTTCTTAACTATTACCTTGTTTCAATGCATTATTTACTTAACGGGGAAAAATGGGTGTCAGTTATATTGAAGGTCATCCTTTGATAAGTTCTTTGGAGGGATGACACCATCAATATGACGTGATCTGCATTTAACATACTAATATTCTAAGAATGGATTTCAATGAGTATTACTTTTCATTAAGCAATTGGAAAGGTAGAAATACATAATAATAGGTATTACTTATTAACGATACCTGGTTGATGTATTTTACAGGAATCTGGTGACTGTGAAGGACTCATTTACCATTGTAAATGGTCCAACTGTCCTTAGGTTACAATCATCATTGGCTTGGTTCCCAGAATACTACTTATGTAGAGCTCATGAGTGAGTCTTCTGCACTATACAGCAGGTCCTCAAATAATGTTTGTTCTATGTCTTTCGTTATAACGTTGACGAGATGCTATAATGTTGCCAGTGGAAATGGGATACTTCCACGGAGTTGTGAGAAAAGCATTTTGGAGACTTAGGCATAGGAGGATGTGAATAGTGGCAGTATTTATTGGAGTGGAAACCTAGGACTGCCCCCAGGGTCCCGATGTCTCATCCAAGACCAGGTGGCTGAGCTCCATCTCGCTGTGGAAGTCTGTGGTCTGGTCAGCACAGGTACACAACCCAGCAAGAGGGTCAGGATCCAGAACTGTACTGCCATCACCTTGGCTCTGGTAGTCCAACATAGACTCTGCTCCTGGCTGCCCTCTGGCCTGATCAGCACTGTGCTTCACTCCTGTGGCTGCAATGGGAAGAGAGAAGGTGTGAAGGAACCAGCCCCTGGCATTTGTTAATAAGCTTTGATCATATTACTTTGGGCTTGTGAAAGGATAAGCTTTCTTTCAAACTAACCAGTCTTCTTTCTAATTCTTTGTGGCTTATGCTGGGTTCTCCCCCTACTCCAGTGATGGCGAACCTATGACACGCGTGTCAGAGGTGACACGCGAACTCATTTTTTTGGTTGATTTTTCTGTTAAATGGCACTTATATAAAATAAATATCAAAAATATAAGTCTTCGTTTTACTATGGTTGCAAATGTCAAAAAATATCTATATGTGACAAGGCACCAGAGGTAAGTTAGGGTTTTTCAAAATGCTGACACGCTGAGCTCAAAAGGTTCGCCATCACTGCCCTATGCAATCCCTTTCCTTGGTCTTTGAGTTTCTGTACCCTTAACCTATCCAGTCCTTTTCTCAGATTTTCCCAGGCTGTTATGTCCCATTTTGGCTCCGACTGCAGTGGTCTAATAGTTTTGCTTCGTCATCTGATTTCTACTGCACATGCCTCAGCATTAAAATCTCTTTTACTTATTCTCTTTCCCCCACCCCCACCTTCGTATTGTATGGTTGTTCCCTGGAAAGTTGGTCCTTCCTACTTGGGGGAGGGAGGGATGTTAATCCCCTTGGCAGGGCAATGCAGTTATCCCCTGGAAGTTGAACCATGCAGACTTAAATCAGGCTATCTGCATTAAATGGAAACTTACTGTACAAAGATAAAATTGGATTGTGAAGCACAGTATGGGATAGCATTAAATACATGGAGGTGATAATGGATACAATAAAGAAATTGAAGCACAGTAACAAGATAAGGAAGAACAAAGAATATCTTCCCCAAGTCTTAGCACCTTTATTCATAATTGTCCCAAACTTGAAGCAACCAAGATGTCCTTCAGTAGGTGAATAAAGTGTGGTACATTTCTACAATGGGATAGTATCCTATATAATAAAAGCCTAATATGCTAAGTGTCTGGTTGTCCTGTCGTCCGTTCAACCAATCAAAGCATAATATACTAATGATATGCTAAGGCTGCTCAACCACTCACTATGATGTGCACTGACCACCAGTGGGCAGACGCTCCAACTGGTAGGTTAACTTGCTGCTGGGGTCCGGCCGATTGGGATGGAGCAAGATGGGCCGGACATACACTGGAGCTCTCCTGCGGTCCCTCCCCGGCCCCAATTGTGCACCAGTGGGGTCCCTTGGCCTGGCCTGCGCCCTCTCGCAATCCGGGACTACTCAGGGGATGTCAGAGAGCAGGTTTTGGCCTGATCCCGCAGGCCAGGCTGAGGGACCCCACTAGTGCATGAATCCATGCACTGGGCCTCTAATTTAGCAATAAAAAGAATGAGCCATAAATCCATAAAAACACATAAGTGAACCTTAAATGCATATTGCTAAGTGTGAGAAGCCAGTCCAGACAAAAGTTACTTTTTTATTCCACCTATATGACATTCTGGGAAAAGCAAAGCTATAAAAACAGTAAACAGATCAATTATGGTTCAAGGAGTTGAGGGGAAGAGAAGAGGGATAAATAGGTGGAGCACACAGACTTTTTGAGAGCAGAAAAACTAATCTAGATGATACTGTAATAGTGGTCACGCAGCATGTATTTATTTATCAAAAGCCATAGAACTGTACAACTCAAGAGTGAACCCTACTGTAATCTGTGGACTTTAGTTAATAATGATGTATCAATATTCATCAGTTTTAACAAATGTACCACACTAAAACAAGATGCTAATAATAATAGAAACTATATGGGATGGAGAGAGGTTGGGTAAACAGGGAGTACATATATGGGAATACTGTACTTTGGGTGCAGTTTTTCTATAAACCTAAAATTTGCTTAAAAAAATAAACACCTCGCCGAAACCGGTTTGGCTCAGTGGATAGAGCGTCAGCCTGAGGACTGAAAGGTCCTAGGTTCGATTCCGGTCAAGGGCATGTACCTGGGTTGCGGGCACATCCCCAGTAGGAGATGTGCAGGAGGCAGCTGATCGATGTTTCTAACTCTCTATCCCTCTCCCTTCCTCTCTGTAAAAAATCAATAAAATATATTTAAAAAAAAAAATAAACACCTGTTAATTCAGTTACTGATGCCTGAAAAAGTCTATAAAATTGATTATACAAAGTAATCTAATAGCCATAGGTAGTATCTAATGTAACAAAACAGTGTTAAGGGAAGATATTTCTCTTTTGTTAAAACTTTAATTCTCATTGTGCCCCTCCCCCACTTTTTTTTTTCCTTAAAGAATACCTGCAGTCATTCTTGTTTCTGTGTTCATTTTTTTTTTCTTTTTCTTTTTGGTCTTTTCTGTTAGGTGTATTAGCCCTTTCTTGGTACCCACCTGATTTACATGATGAGAATGGAGTATCTACTGATGACTTGGTACCAACTATTTTGGATAAAGCTCATAAATACAATCTAAAGGTACTTTATTTCAAGTATTTTAAATTTTTATTGAGATATGATTGACATATGACATATTTGTTTCAGGTGTTCATTATAATAACATGTATATATTTGAAACGATCATCACAATAAGTCTAGTTAATATCCATCATTATACATTGTAACAATATTTTGTCTTGTGATGAGAATTTATAAGATGTATTTTCTTAGTAACTTTCACATATGCAATGCAGTTATTATAGTTATTAACTATAGTTACTATGTTTTACTTTACATGCCAGGACTTAATAATTTTATGACTGGAAGTTTGTACCTTTTATCATCTTCAAACATTTTGCTCCACCCCCATCTCAGGAAACTATGATCTGTTCTCTGCAGCACTGAGTTGTGTGTTGTGTGTGTGTGTGTTTAAGATTCCACATTTAAGTGAGATTGTGTGGTGTTTGTCTTTCTCTGACAGACTTATTTTACTTAGCATAATGCCATCAAGTTACTTCCACGATATAACAAATGGCAAGATTTCCTTCTGTTTTTATAGCTGAATACATATACCACATTTATCCATTCATTGGTTAATGGACACTACATTGTTTCCATTTCTTGGTTGTTGTAAATAATGATGCATTGAGTATCCAGTGTCTTTTCCACTTAATGTTTCTGTTTCCTTCATATAGTAGTTCTATTTTTACTTTTCTGAAAGAACTCCTTACTGTTTACCATAGTGGTTGCATCAGTTTATATTCCCTTTTCTCCATATCCTTGCAAACTCTTGTTATTTTCTCCCTTTTTGATAGTAATTCTAACAGATGTGAGATGATATCTCTCTGTGGCTTTGATTTGCATTTCCCTGATGATTAGTGAAGTTAAAGTATCTTTTCATTTATTTGTTGGGATATGGATGTCTTCTTTGGGGTCGGGGGAGGGAGTCTATTCAGAACCTCTACCTATTTTTAAATCAGATTGGTGTTTTTGTTTTTATTGCTATTGTGTTGTATGAGTTCTTTATATTTTGAATATTAACCCCTTACAGATAAATTATTTGCAAATATTTTCTCTCATTTGGTAAGTTGCCTTTTATTTTGTTGATGGTTCCTTTGCATAGTCAAATACTGCTGCAGTTAAATATTTTACCTTTTGTTCTCCCTGAGTGATCTACAATAATAATCTGCTTCATGTTGATATTTACTGCTGTGTTGCTGACAACTACCTGAAAGAGAAGTTGGGGTGCTTCACTGGGCTGGAAAAAGTTTAGCTACATCAGAAAGCAGGTCTAGTTAAGCAAGTTTATTCTATACTAGAGGCCCGTTGCAGCCCCAGCTTTGTCCAGAAGGTTGTTCAGCTGTCCGGTCTGATTTGCATATTACCTTTTATTATTATAGATATACTAGAGGCCTGGTGCATGAAAAGTCATGCACTTTGGGGGGGGGGGTCCCTCAGCCTAGCCTGTCTCCTCTCACAGTTCGGGAGCCCTCAGGGGATGTCCTACTAATGGCTTAGGCCCGCTCCCCATGGAGCAGAATTTAATCTATTTATACTTAAAGTAGGTATTGATAGGTATGGGTCTTGTTAATTGTTTTATAGCTTTTTTTGGTAATTCCTTTGTTCCTTCTTTTCTTGTTTTCTTCCCTTTATGATGATTTTCTATAGAAGTAGGCTTATATTTCTTTCTCTTTATTTTGTACTATAGGTTTTTACTTTTTTGTTATCATGAGACTTCCATACAACAACTTATATTTGTAATAGTGTGTTTTGTTGACATTTGCCCCCATTTACATGTTTTTATGTTTCCCATAACATTATTGTAGTTATTTTTACTGTTTCTGCTTTAATACTAGCTTTATAAGTGATTAATTCATTGCTTTTACATTAGATTTTTCTGAATTTTAATATATATATTTTAAGCAGTGAGATTTATACTTTTATGTTTTTCTATTACAAATTAGCTCCTTTTTGTTTAAGCTAAGGAAGTCCCTTTAACATTTTTTGTAAGGCTGGTCGATCATGAACTCTAACTTGTACTTTTATGGAAAAATCTTTCTCATTTAGTTCTGAAGGATAACTTTGTTAGGGAGAGTATTCTAGTTTGTAAATTTTCTCTTAAAAGTGCTTTAAATATATTGTGCCACTCCTTTCTAGCCTATAATATTTCTGTTGAAAAATCTGTTGATATTATAGGGGTTCCCTTGAACATAACATACCATTTTTTTCTTTTGCTTCGTTTAAGATTCCTTTAACTTTTAACTGTTTATAATGTATCTTAGGAGTCTCTTTCAGTACATTTCATTTGGAACTCTCTGGGATTTCTGGACTGCATGCCTTTTCTTCCCCAGATTAGGGAAGTTTTCTACCCTTTTTATTTAGGGACCCCTATAATGCAAATATTTGGGCTTTTTTGATATTGTCCCACAAGTCCCTTAAGTTCTCTTATTTTCATTTTTCTTTTGATGCTCTGATTGGATGAGTACCACTGCCTTGTCATTGAGTCTTTCTCCTGCTTTTTCTAGTCTGCTACTGAACCCCCCCCCCCCGCATTGTATATTTCAGTACAATTATTTTATTCTTTAACTCCATCATTTGTGTTTGATACTTTCTTATATTTTCTGTTTATTGAAATTCTCACTGTGTTCTGACCTCAGTGAGCATCTTAAAGCAGTTATTTTGAACTATTCATGTGAAAAACTTCGTTCGTTTCCTATTGCTGCATTACAAATTACCCCAAAACTTGGCAGTTTAAAACAACACATTTATCATCTTATACAATATCTAAAGGTCAAGAATCTAGAAGTGTCTTAGCCTGGTAATATGATTCAGGGTATCTCAGGAGATTACAATCAAGCTATTGTCTGGTGCTACAGTCATGCATCCAACTTTTTCATATGGTGGTTGACAGACATCAGTTTCTTCCAGCTATTGAAATGGGAGTTTTAGTTCTTCACCACATAAGCCTCTCTGTGGGGCTACCTGTGTCTGTTATGACATGGGAGCTGGATTCTTTCTGGGGCCCCTCACACGGGGCGCCACCTTGCCGGGGCTGACCAGCAGCCCCTGAGCGAAGGATGAACAGATTACTCTGCTGCAGTTCACTGTGAAAGAGAAAGCTAAGGGACAGCCTGGCTGATAGCAACCAGGCAGCCTTGATTGCCTGCCTCCTTAGGCTTTTATTGGAATTTTTATCTTTAGATGCAATCAGTAGGGTAAGTAATCTTGGGATGACACATGTGTTTACATTGTCCTCTAGGGGCATCCAGAGATTAAGCATAAGAATTCCAGTAAACACCCGGGGGTCTGCACATGCACAGACTTGTTTGGAAAGGTCAAGGAATAATTAGGGGCACCGCCTACGACACTCCCCTAACTCGGAATTCTGATAAACAGGGCAGGCGGTCTTCCACACACTTCCCTTTTCTCAGAATGTCCTTCTTACAACCTTCCAACCAAGTCTCGTGTGCTCCCCAACAGATTCTCCATAGTGAATGAAGAGAGAGTCCAGTGTAGAAGTTGGAGTTTTTTTCTGAACTAATCTTGAAATAATGTCACTTTCATCCTATTTTATTGGTTTATTCACTGATAAACCAACCCTGGTCCAATGAAAAATGCAATTGCATAGGTCATGAATATTAGAAAATGGGGATCATATGTGGTCAATTTGGATAGTGGCTACTACAGAAAACTTGCAAATTTATTATATAGTGATAGCATGATTCTGATTCAAAAACTAAATAATAGCACAAGAAAGAGATTTATTTATAGGCTGATCCCACTGATGAAAATATATGCAAAATTCCTAAAGAAAACTTTAAAAAGAAGCTGTTTATTAGAATGGATATTAAGAATAGTTTCAAGAGTATATAAAATCTGAATCCAAATTTCCTATATTCATTCCTGACTCAACCACTTACTAGCTATGTATGTTACTCTTGTGCCTCAATTTCCTCATCTCTCAAATGGAATGGGTATAGAGATTACATGCAGTAATATATATAGCATTTAGTGTCTGGCACAGAATACACTATATAACAATTAAGTAAACAAAACTTCATTGGATATTTAAGGAGATAAATATCTTATTGGATACTGAAATTTTGAGAAAATAACTTGTTACTAATAACATGCTTAATAATGAAAGTTTTTTTTAAAATCTTGATAAAGGGTATGTTTTAATAGCTATATCAAACACCATACTTAATGGAGAAACAGTAGCAACACCAATCAAGCCTGCTCTCCATCAGTATTTAATATTACTATAGAGATTCTATCAAATAACTATTTTTAATATTTTTAAACTGCTAAGTAAAATGATCATTTTTTGCAAATGGAAAATACCTACAAAACCAATGAAAATAATCTAAAAATTATTAGACATCATAAGTCTAGTAATGTGACTGGAACCAAAAATATACACAGCAATAGGATTCCTACATTACAGGAGGAAAATGGGAAAATGTACTTTGTAACTAGCATAGCAAGGACATTTTAATAAAGGATATGAAATGAAAGCAAACGTACAGAAACATAAATTTGATGGAAAGACTCAAAATCGCAAAAATGTTCTCTCAAACATTTGTATCATATTTTTAATATAACTCATAATATTGTTAATATGTATAAATTTAATGCAATCCCAATCCAAATTTCCAGTGAGATTTTTAATACAGAATTTGACAGGCTAATTCTAAAATTTAAAAATATAGTATAAATTTATTAAAATGTTTGATAATGAAGGGAGAACTTGTCTTCCCAAATAATAAAATAGAATTAAAAGAGTATAGCATTAGCATCAGTATACAGAAAGAAAACAGATCAATGAAACACAGTCCAATAATAAGGCACTGTATATGGAAATCTGATATATAATTAATCATTTTGAATCATGTAAAAGGAATATTTATATATGATCTTCATGATACTGGTTTAGTTTTCTTGCATTATCCATTCTGTTGTTCTTGGACAATAATTTTCATTTCTAATAATTCTAATTTTCAGATTGCTAATTTTTCTTAGAGTTTATTCTTGTTTTC